ACAGGACGAGGGCTTGAGCCTGTGCCTGCTTCTCCAAGACAGGCCAGAGACCAGGAGCGGCGCGCCCCCTCTGCTCGCTGGGTGCTCGGGAGGGAGGACACGGCCACGGAGACGACCCTGGTCCTCGAGATGCCCCGCTGGGGTCTGGGTGTCCTTCTGCAGAAGGACAGGCCGAGGGTCCACTGGAGGGGGCTGGGAGGGCAGGCCTGGGTTCGAGTTTCCTGCTGCCCCACTGTGTGTCCTGGGGCCAGTCCCGGACCTCTCTGACCTGGACCCTGCAGAGAGGCTCGCTGGGCAGGAAGGTCGGGGGGCGGGGAGGGTGCTGGCCTCACCGAGCTCCTCCTCCGACATGGGCAGAAAGTGGTCCACCAGCTCCTCGGACTTGCCCAGCACAGTGTCCAGGGCGTGGCTCACAGAGCGCTTCAGCTCCACACTCCAGCGGCGCCGCCAGGCCAGGTCCACCACGCCTGTGACACTACTAGCCACCGCGTCCTTGGCCGAGGTCACCACCTGGTGGGAGGGGCCCACTGCAGGTGCTGCCCGTTTCTGGTCCTGTCCCCTGCCCAATTCCCTGGAGCTGGGACTCAGAGGCCTCGGACTCCTGACCCTGTGCCTCGCTTTCCCTCTATAAAATGGCCCCCCGGGTCCGTGGGCGGTCACCAGCACCCACGGGCGGCGTGTGAGTTGGTGCTGACCACTGACTATTTCATCTGGCTGGTCTTCTGGAACTGGGGCTGAACTCAGGGGCACTCGACCACCAGCCCCTCCGCAGCCCTGTTGGTATTTTATTTAGAGACAGGTCTCACTGAGCTGCTCAGGGCCTCACTAGGTTGCTGAGGCTGGCTCCATCCTCCTGCCTCAGCCTCCTGAGCCGCTGGGACCACAGGCCTGCACCCCGGCACCTGCCGCGGGGCTTTCTGCTGGGGCCTGGAGGGAGCAGGACTGTGCTCCCGGGCGGCACCCACCTCCTCCCACTGCTCTGGCCCAGCCCACGCCGCCCCGGGGCCTGTGGTCTGGGTACCGCGTCTGAAGGTTGCTGGAGAAGGGGCAGCTTCTCCTCCAGTTTGTCCAGGCCCCTGCAGGCGAGGTCATTCACTGTGGCCACTGAGGGGAGGGGTGAGGAGAGAGGGACACAGGCAGGGATGCAGAGGGAGGGCAGCTAGAGAGCAGCCATGGGGGACAGACGGTGGGGGACACAGGAGCGGGGGAGAGACCGGAAGAGATGAAACTGAGAGGCCCAGCTGGGGGGACAGCTGGGCAGGCCCCCAGACGTCCCGAGAGCCCAGAGATGCCGGGTGGGCCTCAGGCCTGTGGGACAGGGACCTGGAGGAGGAGTTGGACCCTGGGGACCTGGGAGCCTCCCAGCCAGCTCCGTCTCCCAGGGAGGGTGCAGGAGGGCCACCAGGGCCCGCCTCCCTGGCCCTGGCTCTCCCCCTGCCCCGCCCCTCAGCCCCCAGGTGACTTCTCAGCGATGCCCAGTGGGCAGCCCAAGGCCATAGCAGGAGAGGAGCTGGGGACCCAGGCCAGGGCAGCCGCTTCTGGCTCACATGGGGGGCGAGGGGTCTTTCTGACCGTCACCAAGGTGGACCCCTGAGCTGGTGACAGGGGCCTTGGAGATGCGGGAGGTGGCGGCTGGGCCGAGGCTGTGGGGCTCAGGACAGGGGAGGAGAGGCCAGGGGACAGAGGTGGACAGACAGTGGCCGCCAGGCATGGGGGGAGGAGGGGAGGAGGACGGGACGCAGGAGCTGGGGGGAGGGCCACAAGGCACCAGGTGAGGCCGAGGGAGGTCACGTGAAGGGACAGGCAGGCGGCACATCGGAGGCAGCAGGGTGGCGGACGGCCAAGGAGGGACCCCTGTAAGGGGACAGCCCAGGGCGCGTCCTGCGGAGGGACTCACGCTGAGGCTGCAGGCGGTCCAGCAGCGGCTGCGCGCGGCCCAGGGCCCGGCTGGTGAGGCCCCCCAGGCAGTGCTCGGCCAGGCGGCAGGCGGAGCCCAGCAGCGGGTGTCTGTCCTTGGCAGCGCTGTAGGCCCCCGAGATGGCTGTGCAGGTGGTCCGGACCAGGGGCAGTGCCGCCACCCGCTGCACCACGCTCTGTGGGAAGGGGTGCCGTCAGGGGACCAGGGGACAGGGGCCCAGCCACCCCATAGCCCGCGTCCCCTCACCGGGCCAGGCTGAGGGACGGGGTGGGAGTCAGGGAGAAGCCTGGCGGCCCCCTGCGGTGCCAGCCTTGGTTCTCAGGAGCACCCAGAGTGCCAAAGCTCTGGAGTCCTCTGTGTTCCTGGCGGGCACTGGCGGGCACGAGGACCCAGCCGTCAGAGCACCGCCTCTGACACCCCGGCCCAGGTGCGGTTCTGGTGGGCTACTGCGGAGCTGTGTGAGCTCAGGCAAGTGACCTGCCTGCTCTGAGCCTCGGTTTCCCCATCTGTAAAGCGGGTTTCCAGGGCAGTGGGTGGTGTTTGACCGTGAGCGAGGGACTGGCCAGCACCATATCCTGACGGCTGCATTACTGTTACTGTGGAGAGTGACAGTGGACACAAGCAGGAAGGGGCAGCAGGGATGCAGAGTGGCCAGGGCCAGTGTCCTCGGAGATGGTCCCCGGCCAGGGCCTCCTCACAGCCTCTGGAACCAGCAGGCTGCACCAGCCTCTCTGTGGCTCTCAACGTGCCCAGAATTGGTTCTCCCAGTGAGGGCAGGGCTGGGACATCAGCCCGAAACTGCCCGGGAAGTACTGTCCCCCTTCCCTCCCCGAGCCCCTGCTCCACAGAGGGGGCAGCCCCTCACCTGCTGGTCCTGCTCACACAAGTTGGGTTGGGGGGCCTGAGAGGCCTCATCCTCAGACATGGCTGCTGCGAACAGGGTCACCCTGGGGGCAGGACAGAGTGAGGGGACTCCTGCATGCCAGCCCTCCCAGCTCCTGCCCTCCCTAAACTCGCAGAGCTGGGGTCCTGTCCACCTGGGCTGTGACTTGGGCAACTGGCTTTCCCTCTCAGGGTCCATGGAGTGGGTGTCCTGCAGGGCACAGACAACGCATAAACCCACAGGTGCTCAGTGAACTGCCACTGGTGACAACCTGGGCTGGAGAGAGACAGACTTGGCCCTAGTCCTGCCATGACCTGCTGTGTGACCATGGGCAAGGTCCTTCACCTCTCTGAGCTGTTTCCTCTTCTGTAAAATGGGGGCGATCCCTACTGCCCCTGCCAGGGACAGACCTGCCCAAGCAGTCCCTACACACGCGGGCGGAGGTGCAGGTGGTAGCTGCAGGATCCGGATCCGCCCACAGTCCTTTGGCAGACGGGGGCAGGGTGCCCGGGCTGCACGCAACAGGTCCCCACTGCGCCCAAGGTCACTCAGCTAGCAGGGTCACAGCTCGACCTCAAACTTCAGACTGGCCACTTGCGGCTCTTTCCCCTGTTGCCACCCCTGCGCCCTCTGAGCCCTGGTTCCCTCCCAACTGGGTCTTGAGCGTGGGCCAACTGGGCCAAGGGTCTCAGCCACCTGTTCTGGCCCATCGAACCCCTGCCACACCGCCGCACCCTCTCCAGCCACCGCCTGGGGGTCCCGAGCCTGGGGGACTCCGGGACGCAGGCCGCAGCACTCACCTGGTCGCTCGCAGGCTGGGACCTGAGCCGGGTGCCTCCGAGGACCCCAGTCCCGGCTCGGGTCTCAGGCCCCAGTCTCCGCCCCCGCCGGCTCCGCCCGCCTTATAGCTGCTCGGAGGCGGGGCCTCTTGGAACCGACCAATAGGCAGAGAGCACAGAGCACAGGGCAGGTCCATGGGCGGGGCTCCAGTCTACCCTCCTGGGCTCCTCCCGCTCGCCTAGCACTCTGAGGTTGCCACAGTAATCCAGGGACGCCAGATGCCTAAGGATTGGGCTACTGGCCTTGGCCAGACAGTGTCACCTGTCACCTTCACTGCTGTGCTGCAGGGACAATGGGGGGCGATTGCAGCCCTCCTCACTACCTTGCCAAGTGACAGGCAAGTCTCTGATGATTTTCTTTTTTAATATTTATTTTTTAGTTGTAGGTGGACACGATATCTTTATTTGTTTTTATGTGGTGCTGAGGATCGAACCCAGTGCCTCACGTGTGCTAGGCAAGCGCTCCACCACTGAGCCCCAGCCCCAGGCCCTCCAAAGATTTTCTTTCTTCTTAATTTTGTTTGCACTGGGGATGGAACCCAGAGATGCTTTACTGCCCAGCCAGATCCCCGCCCTTTTAATTTTCTTATTTGAAACAAAGGCTTGTTAAGTTGCTGAGGTCCTCGCCAGGTAGCTGAGGCTGGCCTCAAATTTGTGATCTTCCTGCCTCTGCCTCGGAAGCTGGGATTACAGGTGTGTAAGGGTGCTCTGCTCCTAATTAAATTTGCCATTTAACTAAGCTGGGAGCCAGCAGTCTGTCCCTTGGGTTCACATATTTCCAAAGAGCAGACTGAGGCTCAAAAGCCTAGACCACTTGCCCCCATAGGACTGAAGTCCATAGGACTGAAGAATCTGATTTAAACCAGCTGTTAGACTTCAGGTCCCTGCTTTTCACTGGGGACATAGCCTTCCAAGGGGACTGTAAAGCCTGTGCCCCAACACTTCAGGATCCCCCAAATCTGACCCCAGCCCCCACATGCCCAACTCTGCATTGGCAGGGGCCCAGTATCTGAGCTCAGTCATGCCCCTCCGACCGGCCCCTCCAGTGCCTTCAGTGCCCCGTTGAGCTGGCCCTGGGCAGGCGTCCCCTCAAAAGATCCCATGCCAGCGTGAGGCATTGGAGACCTGGGCAATCTGGGACACAAGCTCTGGCAGGAATCCACCTGTAAAAGGACACCCAGCAATGGTCAGGGATTTATTGCCAGTTAAGGCCCCAGAGAGGGGAGGGAGAGCAGAAGCCATGGGGCCATCTGATCCCAACGGCCATTGGCTTGGGAGCTTCGTCTTGCGCCCCAGGCTCTAGGTGACCGCCACCTCTTCCTCCATCCTGGGCATCAAGGGTGCAGAAACACAAGATTCATCCGATTCGGGCCAGCAGGTGTTTATTAAGTCCCTGGGGCGGTGCCAGGTCACGCCAGCACTCAGAGAGCCCCCAAACTGGGGAAGACAAAGCCAGATGTGGCCAGGACACAGCCAGAGGCAGGAACCAGGGGCTTGTGGGGAACCCGGGGACCAAGGGCCGTGGGAAATGGAGCATCAGCATTCCAGGGAGGGCAGGTGTGGGCTCAGGTCAGGAGGCTGGCAAGTGGGCCCGGGGCGGGCGCATGCACCAGTGGGAACCCTGGGGTCTCGGCCACCCCACCCCGGCCCCAGGCCTCACGGGGACCCTGACACCTCCAGCAGCATCCGTCCCCTCAGGGCGTCAGGCCCAGCACAGCGCGTGTCATTCTGGGAGAACATCCTGTGCTTGTTGGCCACAAGCCAGCGACAGAGGTCATCCAGGTTTTGGTCACAGACCCAGGGGTTGCCCGAGATGTCAAAGCCGTCCTTCATGTCCCTGGAGGGCATTCCCAGGGATTCCCAGAGCCCTCTGGGCACGCTGGACAGCAGGTTGTTGGAGAGGTCCAGCATGTCCAGCTCCTTCAGGTTGTGGAAGGCGCCGGCAGCCACCGTGGTCAGCCTGTTGTCACTGAGGAAGAGGTAGCGCAGCGCCGGCTGCTTTGCCAGGAGTGTCTCTCCAAGGACCTGCAACCGGTTCTCCTCCAGGTGCAGCCGCTCCAAGCGCAGCGGGCCCCTCAGGAGGTCAGGTGGCAAGGTCTCCAGCTGGTTGTCCCCAAGGTCAAGGGTGCGCAGGGCCCCGAGATTGGCCAGCAGCCCTGGGGGGAGCGTCTGGAGGCTGTTGGAGGACAGGTCCAGATGCTCCAGGGCTTTGAGGCCGAGTAGCCACGAGGCCTGCAGGGCCTTCAGCCGGTTAGCCTTCAGCACCAGGACGCGGAGCGCGGCAGAGGCCCGGAAGAGGCCGGGGGGCAGCTGGGTGAGGAGGTTGTGGGTGAGGTCCAGCACCTCCAGCCGCGGCACAGGAAGCAGCAGTTTGGCGGGCAGCTCCTGCAGCCGGTTGCTGGCCAGGTGTAACTCCCGGAGGCCCGCGGCGCAGCGCAGGGCGCTGGCCGGCAGCTGTGTCAGCGTGGAGAACTCCACCACTAGGTGGACCGTGTCAGCCGGGAGGGGCGCGGGGAACCGGGCAGGCGAGAGGCAGGAGACGGTGCTGCCCCCGGGGGACGGCAAGGTCACGCACGCTTTGGGGCTCGGCGTGACGCCCTGGGCCAGGGCCACCAACAGCAGTAGTAGGAACAGGGTTCTAGAAAGAGGGGGGTCAAGGCCGCCTGAGCTTAGGCCATCACAGAGGTGCTGGTGAGCAACAGCGGAAACGCCCCGCTAGCAACACCACCAGGACCCTCCTCCGCCTCCCGCCGCCTGGCCTGTGCCCTCGCCTTGCTCAACAGGGCTAGGGTGCTGCAATCACTTCCTCCTCCTCTCCTGGCCTCCTGCCTCGCCCCCACCCTACAGCTGCCAGGAGGGGACCCCTGTTCCAGGGAGAATCCTCAGTCTGTGGCTTTGGGTTTCTGAGCTGACTCCTGCATCTGCCCTACCCCATCGCTGGCCCAGCCCTAATGGGCTATTAACTGTTCACAGTCCGACTTGCTAGTGTCTTCTGGTCCACCTTGTTTTCTGGGTCAGTTCTTGACTCCCTAGTTGTGTGTTCTGATGGCAGAGCCAGTGAACTCCTATTCAACCTACAAAGCCCTGGATCCAATGCCCCTTTTCCATGAAGTCTTCCTGCCCTTCCCTACAAGGCAGGAGTGCCCACTCTAGCCTCTTCCTCACTCTGTCTATTTGTGACCAAATAGGGTCAGGTTGTCTTTGTTCTGCACCTGAGAACAATTCAGGGCTCAGGTGCCAAGAGGGGATCCTGGACATGGAAGTGTGTCCTGCTGTGGGCAGGTCTGGGGTTGAGTATTGGGTCAAGCGGGGGGTGGTTTCTACTTGGTACCATAACCCTGGGTGGCTTTGGGGGGCTTCTCCTGCTCCTCCAGGCCTGGCCCGATTAGCAGATATCGCCTGGACAGCCTCCGTCCACGGCCCCAGGTCTCTCCCCCTACTTGCCTGACCTGAGGCCCCTTGGGCTTCGCAGGTGTGTGCAGGTCTGTGCCAGCTGCTCGGCCCTCTGCGGCTTTGGGGCTGGGACGGCTGCCTGTCTCTACACAGCCTGGCTTTGGGCCTGCTGGGGTGCACGGGGGACCTACCTCTGCATTTGCTGCCCACCCCAGGGGGACATGGTGGCTCTTCTCTGGTCGTCCTGGGTCTCTATGGCCTGGGGAAGTGGCATTATACCTGCTTGGACTGGGGCAGGGAACCCAGTCATGTGGAAGGCCCCACCCATCCTGTTCCCGTTAGTGCCAGAACCAGAGCGGGCGGGCGGGGCGGGGGGATTGCAAAATTGCTTCCGGGCAGCAGCGTCCGCCAGCCCTTCTCCCGTCTCTGGCTTCTAAACCCAGTTTTTCTCCCCCAACTTTCTGTTTTTGTGGCACCCAAGAGTCTCTCGAGCTGAGTCCCTCTTCCCCTAGCCCAGGATTCCAAGGGTCAGGACTGTGAGGTGCCACCTGGAGGGAGTACCTTGTCCTTTTTCTTTTTTAAAATGAAGTGGGTTTTGTTGTGGTTTTGTTTTAATCAGGGAGGTCAGTAAGGAGGAGTGTCCAATAACAATGGCTGGGGAGGAGCCTGGCTCTGGTGCAAGGCCCCCCGGGCTCTGCAGGAGGGTGCAGGTTGGAGCAGTCTGTCTGTCCATGGGCAGGGGTGGTCTGTGCCAACCTGCAGGCCTGTTCCTCTGTGGCTTCATGAATAGGAAGGACCGAAGGTCCACCTGTCTCTGCACAGCCTGGCGTCCAGGCCTGCCCAGGGTGGAGGGGCGGGGACATACCCCTGTCCTCACTGTCCCGGCCTGGAGCACACGCTGGCTCTTGGCCCCGGGTTCTGAATTACAGCTCAGCGCAACACGGCTCCGCCCGATGCGCTTAGACTGTGCCCAGCTTTCCCGGGGCTGGGCCTCCCACCCACGAAGCCAGACTCACCCTCCTCCCAGGGCTTTCTTCGCTATCTTGTTCCTCAGTGGAGACTGGCGTGCTCTGTGTGTGTGTGTGTGTGTGTGTGTGTGTGGTGCTGGGGAAGGAACCCAGGGCCTGAGCCCCTCGTTTCCACATCGATGCATCTGGGGGCTACACGTTTCCCTTGGAGAACTCCGTTGGCTGCGCTCCACGGGCTTGGCCAGGCAGGGCCGCTTCCAGCCTTAAAACCAAGTTCCAAACACTCAAGTATGACGTGCCAGTGCACCCGCCGTGCCTGGCATGGCCCTTTCTTCCAGCCCGGACTCTCGTGGGCTGAGTTCAGCTGTGAGGGTGACCAAGGAGTCTGTCTTAGTGGAACCCCTAGGCTCAGAGACGGACGCCCTGGCTCACGGTGGCAGCCCCGGTTGAAAGGCAGAGTAAAGAAACACTCAGGAATACACGGACCAGAATGACACAAAGACAGCAGAGGCCCAGACAGAGCCAGAGACTCAGAGCCGGACACCCCGCACAGAGTGACAGGCCCACTGTCAGGAGCAGACCCACAAAGACAGACACACGGGGTCAATAGAGAGCAGCCGTGGAGGCTGCAGCGCGCTCTGCCCTGCTGGTCTCCCAAGGCCAGGGAACTGGCCTGTCCCTTCCCATCCTGTGCCCAGGGTCCAGCCTGCAGCATTTGGGTGCTGCATGGAGAGCCATGGTGGCGTGGCCAGAGCCCTCTCCCAAAATGTGCAGGTCACATCCCATCTTAAAATCCCCATAGCTCTGTGTCCAGTTAGAATTCACAAGGCCAGGGGCAGGGGAAGGGGGACTCGGGGTCCTATGGACCTGAGGTTTCAGATGGAAAGTGGCAGCTCTGGACGTGGATGGTGGTGACGGCTCACCTCCCGGTCCCCTCGCCCCCTCTTCCTCCCACACCCACTCTCTGGCCACGGGCTTCTTGGGCCTGGGTACTGTCTGCAGCCCTCCACTGGCCTGCTCCTCCAATGTCCTCTCAGTTGACAGGACACCTAGGAAGCCCTCCCTGGCCACTCCATACCTCTCCCCCACGTCAGCCTGTACCGTGTCCCGCTGTCTGTCTTGGTCATACCCATCACCAGCTCAGACACACTTTCCCCGACACTGGCCGTCACACCCGCCCTATGTGCTCACCACAGGCTACGGGTCCCCAGACTGGGCTGCGGGTCCTGCAAGGGTAGGGTCCTCGTGGCCCAGTGGGGGCGGGCTGTACAGGTGGCGCACACTGAATGTCCGCTAAAGAAACACTAAGAAATGGGGATCCCCCTGGACTCCCCACATTTCACACCTGACTCCCTTGACCTGGCTGTGGGTGTCAACCGTGTCCCCAGTTGTCCTCAGCCACCTCCAGGTAACAGAGCGGACGCGGAGCCTGGGGGCCGGTGGTTGTAAACAGAGTTTTATTGATGGGGAAGGAGCGGGGGAGGCAATCTCCAGAGAGGGTCTGGGAAGGGGCTGGCCACGTGGCATGCATGGTCAGCCGGAGGCTGAAGGGGGAAGTCACAAGGGGTAGGGTGGCATGGGACTCTCTGACCACCCTGGGGTCATATTTACAGGGGGGCCCCACCCGCCTCTGCTGCCCCCCAGACCCCCAGCCCTTTAGATGGCTGCTGCCAGTGTGACTTCCGGGCAGGCTCTCCGTCCCCTGCCGCCCGGCCTGTCCCCGCTGCCCTCCACAGAAGCGGGTGTGAACTCCTAACCGGCACCTCGGAGGCCCCGGCCTTCCGGAAGCCGGGGGTCGGCTCAGCCAATGCCCAGGCGGCGGGCGCCTGGCTCACACGTAGACACACACACGGCCCCGCGGCCCGCCCCGACGCACACGCTCACCGCAGCCCGCAGGCACGCACACGCACGCCTCCCCGGCCCCCTGCACACGAACACAGCATGCACACGCACACACACCCACACACGCCAGGGGCCAGGGGCGAGGAGGGCCCTGGGGGGGCTTGGGTCTGCAGCTGCGGCCCCTCCCCGCCCGCCGGAGCCCGGCTGCCACCCCGAGAACGGAGTTGTGCAATTAGTTAGAAAACTGCAAAAGAAACCAAAATCCATGTGCAGGCCACCCCGGGGGCAGCCAGTCCCCCGCCAGCCCCGGCCCCTCAGCGTCCTCGCCCGTCGGGGTCGGCGAGCTCTTGTGCTTCCGTGTGGCCGAGGGGACCCCACGAGGGCGGGGCGGGGCCGGGCACCCAGGCGCTGGCCCGGGCCTGGCCGCGGGGCCTCTTGCTGGGGTTCCCGTGGCTGCACTGCGAAGGCGTCGGCCCCGGCCTAGGGCACCGGGGGCGCAGTCCTGTCCCCCGCCCCATAGGGGAGGAGGTGGGCCAAGTCCGTGCTGGGCCGGGCGTGGCGGCCGCGGTGGCGGTCGCCGGGCCTGCCCTCGCCGCTGTTGAACGTGTGCGTGCGGCGCAGGGCGGCGGCCGGCGGGCCGTGGGGGCCCGGCCTCCGGAGGCTGCCCGTCGGGGGTGGGCTCCAGGGCCGGGGGAGGCCGTCGACGGCCGAGGCGGGGTCCAAGGGGCCCGTGGGCGCCGACACCACGCGCCGGCGGTCCGGGCTGGCGTGGGGGGTGAGCGGGAAGTCGCCGTGCGAGGCGCGGCCGGGGCGCGGGGCGCAGAGGCGGCCGTCGGGGCCCGCCTCGCCGGGCGCGGGGGGCTGCTCGGGGGCGCGGGCCGGGGCCAGCAGCAGCAGCGAGGACGAGGCGGAGGCGGACAGCAGCGCGGGGCCGTGGTCCCAGGCGCGCGGCGCCAGGGCGTGCGCGTGCGGGTGCGGGGTGGGCAGGCGCTTCTGCGGCAGCGGCGTCTGCTCGGGCGTGGGCAGCAGCCCCGAGTCCAGGTCGTGCGGGCCGCCCTGCAGCAGCGTGGCCTTGGCCCAGCCGTTCTGCATCAGGGGCGCCAGCAGCGCCTCGGGGGGACCCCCGGCGCCGCCGCCGCGGCCCCCCGCGCCCGCCCCGCGGCGCTCGCCCAGCCGGCTCACGCTCAGCACCGCCTCGCCGCCGCCGTGCGCCAGGATGGCCTCCTTGTCCTTGCGGCGCGCCAGCTCCCGCCGCTCGCGCAGGCCCACGAACCAGCCCACGCTGAAGCCGGACACCACGGCGCCCACCACGAAGGCCGCCACCGACGAGGTCACCAGCAGGTTCACGGACACCAGCCCGGCCCGCTCCTCCGAGAGGCTGGCTCGCAGGAGGCCTGCAGGGCGGGTGGGTGTGGCCATGAGCGCTGGCCCGCAGCGGGGTCTTCCCTGGTCGCCACCGGGTCCTTTCTTTCTTTGGGAGGGGGCGGCTCTCTAGATTGAACCCAGGCCTCCCACCACTGAGCTGCGCCCCAGCCCATTTTATTTTGAGACAGGGTCTTGCTGGTTGAGGCTGGCCTCATACTTGCCATCCTCTCGCCTGGACCTCCTGAGCAGCTGGGATGACCGGTGGCGCCACACCTGCCTTCTCTGTCCACCTCAAAGCCTGTCAGTCTGTCTGTTGGCATCTGTCCCCAGTACTTGCCTCTCAGGACATGCCCGTCTGTCTGCCCACAGTGTCTCCTTGTCTCCCAGAGCTTGTCTGTCCATCTGTCTATCTCTTGGCATGTATCTCCTGGTGTCTGTCTGTCTTCTGGGATCTGTCTTCCCCCACCTCTCTAGCCAAGAAGTTGACCCCTGCACTCCCCAAAGCCCCATCACCCAGGGCAGGAGGGGGACCAGGACTGAGGTTGGCGGCCCCTCCCCCGCCTGGCTTCCCTCTGACCCCTTACCTGTGCAGTCCCCTAAGCCTGAGGTGCTGGCCCCGGACACATCCTGCTCAAAGGTGGCTCTGGTGGAGGGGGACAGAGGCACGGTCAGCAGTCGCCCTTCACGCAGGGGAGGGGCATGGGCTGTCGGGGAGGGGCGTGGGCTGTCGGGCAGGTCTGACCCCCTCTGCTCCGCCTGTCCCCGGTACCTGGTGCCAGGGCTGAGGAAGACGCAGGAGCCGTCAGGGGTCCACCCACAGTAGGGGTCCTGGCTGCCGACGCAGTTCCTGGAATGGACGACGTCACAGTCACTAGGGTGGCCCCTGGGTGCCAGGCCCTGTCACTGTCACTAGTTCCCGAGTCCTCCTGGTCGGTCTTGGGTGTTCTTCATTTCCCATTTTACAGGTAAGGAAACTGAGGCTTGGGAAGTCCACGGGGCCAGGCAGCAGGCCTGGGATGGGCCGACCTGAGCCTGGAGCAAGGCAGGCTGGCCCCAGTCGCCTCCTCAGTGCGAATGCTGTGGGGTCCTGTCTGCAATGACAGCAGGCAGGGCCCGGGAGCTGGGGGTGAGCCCAGGCTGGGCCACCACAGGACAGGCCTCTGACCTTCCCACCCAGAGACAGGGAAGGAACCAGCCTCCCACCCTGGCCTCCCTTCCCAGGTCCCCCACAGAATGTCCTCCCCATAGCAACCACTAGAGGGCACCCTGAACACCTGAGCCAGGTTCCTCCCTGGTCCTCCCATGGTCCTCCAGGGCTCCCACCTTCTCCAAGCCGAAGCCCAAGTCCTCCCTGCAGCCCACAAGGCCCTGCACGACTTGCCCTTCCCCTCCCTGCCTCCGTCCTCCCCTCCCCCCCTCACTTCCTCTGCTCCAGCCACACGGGCTCCTTGCTGTCCCTCCAACGCACCAGGCTCAGTCCTGCCCCAGGGCCTTTGCACAGCTGTGCCCTCTGCTTAGTTCATTGCTCTGTGAGTCAGGGTGCTGCCGAGCCCTTGACTCGACCTGGTTCTCTCCCATGACCCCCGCGCATCTCCCCCGTTTCCCCCCGCGCGGCCCAGGGGGCACTCACTTCATGCACCCGGAGAACTGTTGGCAGCGGGCCACAGGTACACGGACCACGCAGTGGGGAAAGGCCGCCAGCAGGCCACCTGAGGCTGCGTCCAGCTCGAGGCTCAGCAGCCGCTGCCCTGTCTCAGCACCGCCGGGCCGTCCACACCTGGGGCAGGCGGGAGGCTGCATGAGGCTCAGGCCCGTACAGCCGCCGGCCCGCCGCCCGCCGCCCAGACTCACCTGTCCGGCCGGTAGGTCTCAAACTCCTCCAGGAAGACGCTGGGCCCAGCAGGACCCGAGAGCCTGGTGCTGGGCCGGACGAGGAACTTGAGGACAGTACCCACCTCGGAGCCCAGGAAGACCACCGTCTGGTTGCCCCAGGGGCCAGCGCCCACGTCCACAGCCACGCGAGTCAGCGGGTGCCTGGAGGCCGGGGTGGGGGTCAGGGTGGCCAGCAGCACCCAGGGCACCCTGGTTCCCATGTGCCACCAGTGTAGGGGCACAGGCATGGTCACAGGGACACACGGACTGGTGCCAGCACACTGTCACCCATAAATGTGAGGCGCAGGGCACCAGCCTGCAGCCACACCGGGACACCCTGTGCCCAGCAGGACAGAGACCCCGAGGGGCTGGCCTGGCTGCCTCTGTATCTGCCTCACTCTCCTGTCTGTCTGTCCCCTCTGCCCCTCTCTCTCTGTCCATCTCCAGCTCTCTTGGTGGCCTCAGAGGCTGGCACTCAGCCACATTGTGTGTGCCCATACAGGACGACTCCCTGTGTCCTCCACAGGCTCAGTGGGCCCTGTGCTACCCAGACCCCAGCCCCTGGCCCCCAGCACTGACCGCATCAGGGTCCGAACGATCCAGGGTGCGTGGCCCAGCGAGGGCACCGTCTCGTCCATCAGCGGGTGGGTCTTGACAAAGCTGAGGATCTCGTCGGGCAGGGCGCTGGACGCGTTGTACTGCATGCCCGGGGCAGCGCAGCACCCGGGCCTGGGAGGGAGAGGCTGGTCAGGCAGATACAGGTCCCCAGAGAGGGGCCTAGTCCACCTGGGAATTGGCCACGCAGCCCCAGGGCCTTGACACCCCCTCGGCATAATGGACACAGGTAAACTCAGTGACAGCTAAGTGACCACCCGAGGGCCCCACCCAATGTCCGGGGCACCAGGGCACCACAGGGCCCGTGTCCCAGGACTGAGGGGCTCTCACCGGGGCCGCGGCACCTGATCCTCGGGCACTGGTGTCCAGATGGACTCGGGGGACTTCTGCTCGCGAAAGCGGCCCTCAAACACGGCGGCCACCTGGGTCATGTCGAAGGCGCAGACGGCCGAGCCGGGGATGCTGGGGTCAGAGGGGCACCCTAGTGAGCCTGGAGGGGCCGCGCCCCAGGAAGGCACCTGGGGTCCCTGTCCTTGGCCCTCGGACGTGGTGCCGGCCCCTCTCCAAGGCCACCCTGTGCTCAGGGACGTCCCTGCCTGGATGTCCGTCTGCCAGCGGCTGCTCTTGTCCCACGGACCCTGTCCCCATTCTGAAGCCTCAGCTCTGACCTCCGTCGCCCGCTCCTCAGTCTCCTGTGTCTCCCCAGCACTCTCAGGAGGGGGGCCAGGCTGCTGCATGGCCTGTCCCCCTGTGCTCCTCCCGTGGCTGGGACCCCAGCCGCCAGCCTCGGGCCTCCCTCCCGCTGCTGTGCCCTGGCGGCCCTGCCTCCTCCTGGGACCCACACCCCGGCCTGGCTCAGGGCGCCGTCCCCAGGCAGCCGACCAGCCCAGGGACAAGCGCCCTCGCCTGCTTTGCCTTGCCCCGGGGGCTGCGGCCCTCGGGTTCAGTCCTGCCCACCCAGGACCCGGCACGATCCCCAAGGGCGGCACCCCCCAGGCCGCCTGTCGCCGCTGGCGCCCACCGACCTGTTGCTGGGGGTGGAGAAGACGGCCAGGACCACGGGCCGGCCCCCCAGGCTGACCACGCCCGTGACGGCCTGCAGCACGTTGAAGTAGAAGTGGGAGTCCCCGGGCACCGAGCAGTTGAGCCGCGCCTTCAGGAAGGACGTCCACTGCTTCTCCAGCACGCGCGGGGAGCCCCCCACGTCGTTCTTGCACACGCGGGCCACGCGGGCCACCACCACCTGGGCACAGCCGACGGCAGGGCCTGAGCCTGCGCCGGGGCGAGACCCACCACAGCCCGCTGCCCGCCGGCCAGGGCCAGCCACGGAGGCTCCTCCCGGCTCTCCAAGGAGGCCACGGTCCCACTGCACATGTGGACACTGAGGCGCAGCAGCAGGAGTGGCCAGCCCCAAGTCACACAGCAAAGTGACGGCCTTTGCCCCTTATTGCCGTGTGGCTGCCTGGGTGGCTGCCTGGGTGGGCTGGGAGGCTGGGTGGACAGCTGGAGAGCTGGACAGACAGCGGCAGGTGAGTAGGGAAGGCAGGGCGGGAGGGACGGGGCTGGGGACAGAGCAAGTCTGGAGAAGAGACACACGAGGAGGAGGCTGAGAAAGGAGATGGCAACAGGTCAGCAGGCGGGTGGACAAGGGGCTGCCCCCAAGAATGGGTGAGGGGGAGGGGAGGGGGAGGGGAGGGCAGCAGTGGTCTCAGGGAGGGGGGTGGATGGGCAGGCAGAGGAGGGGGCCGTGGTGAAGCCACAGAGAGTGGGACAGGTGGGGGGGGTGGGGGGGGGGGGAGGCTGGGGCGGGGGGGGGGGGGGGGGGGTGGCCGGTTGGTTCCGAGGGAGAAGCGGGTGGCCAGGTAACTGGATGCACAGGCGGAGGAGAGGTGGGAGGAGGGGGTGGACGAGCTGCCAATCAGGACAGACTGATGGGCGGCGGGCCGTGTGGACACAGGGGCGGGAAGGTGGAGGGATGAACAGGTCTGTGGGAAGCAGGGAGCAGGTGGGTGGGGGCAGGATGGTGGGGTCAGCGGGTGGGAAGTGGGCCAAGGGGTCAGTGGAGCCGGGGGTGGCTGGAGGGCAGATGGGGGATGCAGGGTGGCAGGGAGGTGGACAGTGGATGGGGGTGAGTGGATGGCAGCTGGGTGGGCGGTGACAGCACAGGGTATCCAGGTGGCCTTCCCGTGGTGTCTCCCGCAGAGCTGCTGGGGCGTCACCGACCCACTTCCGCCCGCCACGCCCCCCACAGAGCCCCTGGGGCCTGTGCCCACTGCACAGCTTCCGGGGACGTGGCCTCACCTTCTCCAGGTAGTTAAACTCCATGGCGATCTCCCGGAAGAAGAAGTAGACGTGGCTGCCCCAGTCCACCGCGTGCACGAAGTACGGCTCTGCGGGGGCGGGCAGTCAGCACATGCCCCGCGACACGGGGCGCTCGGGGCGGACCCCACAGTCTGGGAGGTCTTTTGTGGTGAGGGGCGCCGAGCGTGGCACCAGGCAAAAGGAGCCCGGCTCAAACGTTTTGTGGGAGGGAGGAGGTAGAAGCCGAAAACCCCGTGTCCGCCCCGTCCCGATGGCCATATCTGCTGCTGTTTGTCCCCCTCCTCCTGCGTGTGTGCGGGGCCGGGGCCGGCGGTGCCCAGCCTGTCCTTCCATTTCAGGCTCCTGAGCCGCCCACCTCTGGCCAGCTCTACTTCAGACCCAGTCTTCTCCAGCTTTAGCTTCAAAAAAGCCAGCAGAAGGCTGGGGACAGGCTCAGGGGCAGAGCGCCGGGGCGAGCAGGCGCAAGGCCTGGGACTCAGCTCGACAGCCAAAAATCAGCCACCAAGTAAAAATGCCGGGTCGCTTCCAGAGACGAGGAGGGAGTCCTCTCCTTCACTCTGATTCTGGGGGGGGGCCTCGATGACGCCAGCCCCCAGGTCTGGGCTCACTGCCCCCAGCCTCACCTTTGAACCACTTGGAGTCGTGTTTTACAGTGCGCAGGGTGGGCCGGTCCCCAAGGCTGCGGTAGATGACAGCGTCAATGGCTAGGAAGTCGGTCACAGTGGCTGTGAAGAGCATCCCATCTGGACATGGGGGGGTGGGAGCAGGGGAAGGTCTGAGAGAGATTTAACTGAAGGGGCCCAGACTCCATCCCCCAAGACTCAGCCCTGAGCCTGGGGCTCACTATCCCCATCCCCAGCCTGGCTGAGGCCGGAGCCGAGGTGAGTCCCAACCCGATGGCCCGGAGCCTGGGCTGAGCCCCAGACCCAGCTGATTCTGGTGGCAGGTTGAATCCCTGACCCCAGGCTGAGTTTAGACCCTCTCCAAGTTCCAACCCTCAGTGAGCCTCTGACGTGGCTGAGACTCTGCCCATTTTACAGACACTTGGTCCCCTGCTGCCTGTTAAGCCACCTAGTCTTCAAGAATGGAAAGTGCCAGGCCTCCACCAAGACTGGGGCTGATCTCCGGGTCAGGGTACTCACCCGAGAAGAGGGCGACGTTGGCATGTTTGGGGTCATATGGACAGCGGGCCATGCCACTGATGTTGTCCCCAAGAGGCTGCAGCGTGTCCATCTGTGGGGAACATGGGGCCTGAGCAGAGGTCTGGCAGCCCCTGGCTTCCCCCGCCCTCCATTCCAGGGGGATCCTGCTTCCAGTCACTTAGCCTTTGTGAACCCCCGTTTCCTGCTCAGAGTGGTCCTAATAGCTAGGCTTCCTCCTCCTACACCGACTCACTCTTCACCCAAGAGTCCATCCCAGTTCCCACTGAAAGCGGCTCTTAGATCACCAGCCTGGCTGCCCTGGCCTCCTCTGGAAACACTGACCCTTCTTGAGCTGGGGTGGGGGACAGATCTGGGGGGCTTCTCGTAGGGGCTTCTTCTGCGGTCATGGCCGGATGGGACGGGCTGGAAGCCGGCCCAGGGGTGGCAGGGCTCCGAGGGACACTCACACTGTAGTTGGCGCACACCGGGTTGAAGGCGTTGGAGCCGCACACGAAGAGCGTGGACTCGTCGCGGAGCAGCAGCACCTTTACGAAGTTCCGACACTCGCCCTAGAGTGGGGGGAGCGGAGGCCAGTGTGGGCGTGGCTAGGACCGTGGTGGGCGTGGCTAGGTCGGGGGGAGGAGCCGGGGCTGGAGGGAGGAGAGCCAGGAGGCTTGGGGACCAGGTGGGGGCTGAACGGAGGGCCGCTGGGACAAGGGAAGGGCCGAGACAAGGAGATACTTTGTTTCAGCAGAGGCAAGGTCAGGGCTGTGGGCGTGGCCACAACGGAAGACCCTCTTGGGGGCGTGTTCAGGCTCTGAGCATAACCATGGAGACAGCAGGTTCGAGCCCTGGCGAAGGAGGAGCCCTGACCCTGGGCCAGGGCGGGTCGGGGCAGCAGAGGCGTGTGGCCATGTGCTGGACAACGGTGGACTGGTCAGGGCGGCCGGGAGGGTGGCCACCTGGGCACAAACTCAGGGTCCTACCCTGGGCGGGGCCGAGCCTGGGGGTGGCCAGGGACGCGCTCACCTCCTGCTTGCCCTTCATCCGACACACGTCTATGTCGCTGGGGTTGGAGCGCCAGGTCAGCTTCTGTGGGCAGAGAGCTGGTGAGCGGGGCGGGGTCCCCAACAGCCCAGATATGCTGGTGGGAACCCCTGGTCCCGGCCCCCTGCCCACGGGCCTGCACCCCGTCCTCACCCGCTGGTACCGCAGCTCGGTGGATGTGGGCGGCTCCAGCTCCACCCTGTACAGGTTGTCCCTGCGGAGGGCAGAGGCAGGCAGGTTGGGGGTCTCCCCATCCCTCCCCAATTCCACCCTCTCCCCCAAACGTGGTGTCCGACAGGTGACATGCGGGCACACGCCAGCCCCTCTGGCACGAGCATGTCCGACACCGAGTGGACCCTCTAATGGCCCAATCCCACCTGTAACGGGTCCACTCACACCGCAGGCCACCTCATGCCCGGATGTCCCACCTCAGCGGACCAAGGGCACGTGTCCCCAGACAGACTGTCCCACACGCCCGCCTCGGCTCACTTCCTGTGTGGAGTGGAGTGGCAGAGCAAGAGCCGGGGTGGGGGTGAGGGGCTGTCTCTCTGCGGGCACGTGCCCTTGGTCCTTCTAACCTCTCAGTGTTACAGCGGTCACCTGTCCACCCTCCTCGTCCTCTTCAAGGCCTCTGGCCCAGCTGGTCACCCTCTTCCTGCAAACGCCATTCCTAAGCAGCCCCCGTGCCCCACCCTCCTGGCTGCCTGGACTCTCTGGGACGCCCCCTGCCTCCCCTCTCCTCTGTGGGCCCAGGACTGGGGACTCTTCCCTCCTCCACGACACCCCTCCTGGGCAGCCCCGTCCACTCTCAGGAACTGTCCACAACCCGGTGACGCCCAGCCGATGCCCATGCTCCCACCTCTCCAGCCCTGCGCTTCCTCGGGTCCACCCTCGGGGTCCAGCTGCCCCTGGATGTCTGGGGGGGTTCATGGGTCACATAGGCAACGTGGCCAGGCCACGTCTGACACACCCCAACCCTGTACCTCCCGAGTCTGTCTAGGGGCTCAGGCCGCTCTTTGGGAGGAACCCCTGGACACCGGCCCCCTCCCCTCCTGGTCCCACACAGCTCAGGCCGCCGTGCCTGCAGGCTGTGCCCAGACGCCCTGCTGACCCCAGGCCGTGCGGCCCTCCAGGGCGTCTCCCTGTCCAGCCCCGAGTGCTGCCAGCTTGGACCAGTAGACGCTGGGCTCCCTGGTCCCCAGTCTGTCTTCCCTACAGCAGGCACCAGAGGGTACCTGTGACCTCCTGAACCAGGACCCCTCTCTTTTCCCTCCATGACTTCCACTGTCCTCGGGGCAAAGCCCAAGTCCTCCCACTGCTCACAGGGTCCTCTGCCAGCTGACCGCCCTGTCCTCCCCACTCCCTCCGCTTCAGCCACTAGGGCCGCGCTGTTCCTCCAGCAGACTGGGCTCCACCCTGTCCCAGGGCCTTTGCACAGTCTCTGCCCTTCACCTGGAACACCCTTCCCCCAGGTGCCCCTGGATGAAGATTCACTTAGGTCCCACCCAATGTCACCTGCTCAGGGAAGCCCTCCTGACCATCCCCATGGCGTCTGTGTGGTTAGTTCCTGGCTGACTGGGCCTCCCACCCCAGGACAGCCTTCTACCACCATGGTGGACCGCCAGGGACTGTCCCCATCTTCACACACCCGAGCCAGTCCCACCCAGCACTCGAAGGCCAAGGTCACACAACCTGGCCACACAGCAGGCCGGTCAGGCAGAGCCACCCCTGCACACGCTGCCCCAAGAGCCCTGTACCTGTCCCCGATGAACAGCGTCCTGTTGACCCGCAGCACACGCTGGATGTTGAGGTCTTCGGTGTCCTCCACGGGGCTCGGGCGCCCAGGCCCCCCGCCCACGAACACGGGGTAGTGGCTCAGGTCTAGGGAGAGGTGGGACGGGGGTCACGCCCCTTCTAGACTGGCTCCTGACTTGGGGCCGCCCCACCTGGTAGGGCCAGGGGACCCAATTTGGAAGCAAGAGCCTCTGTCAGGGCTCGACCTCCCCCAAGGTCCCCTTCTTCCCACTCACAGTCCCTGGGGGCCACGCTGAGCGGAGGCGGTTCCTCGGGGAAGAGGCCCTGGGAGTCCCCCAGTAGCAGCAGCAAGAGCATCAGGGCCGGGCAGGGAGGAGGCGCCCCCGCGGTCCGCATGGCGAGGGCCAGGTGGCGGGAGGTGACACCTGCGGGCGAGGACCCGGCGGTGAGCGGCGCGGCCTGCAGTCCCGCCCGTGGCCGGCAGAGGGCGCGCGAGCCTCCACCCAGCTCCATTCCCGGAAACCCCCGCGGGGACGGGAATGAATAAATAACCACAACGGCAATAATAGTAACGATAATAGCAACGGTGGGGCACTTCCCTAAGTGACAGGCCCGCTTCACGGCCACACGGAGTGAAGCGCAGAAACGACTTCCAACAAGAATGCACCGGGTAATTAAAAGCCAATCACAATAATTACAATAATAGATACATTTAAACTATGTACTTAAAATTTAATCTCAAAATGGGAATTTAAAAATTCTTGGAATTAAAACACCAAGATCTTAATGATGCAAAAAAAAAAAAAAAATCAAAGTTTCCTAAGTAGTCTATAAACCGCCACCTGGCGGGGGGCAGGAGTGCAGACTCCGGTGCAGCCCGCCAGGGCCTGGGCCCCCTTCCCGCCTTTGTGCCCTCTGCTTGACCACCCTGCGACAGGACAGGCGCCTCAGTACCTCCGGGAGGGCTGCTCTTTCTGCTCCCACGCAGGGTGGCTCCGCCGGGCCTTCTGGGTGTGGGGGCTGGAGACCCCACCCAGGTCACGGTGGGGGGAACTCACGCTCTGAAGCCAGCGCTCCCCGCCCGGGCCACTTCCCTACCAGAAAGGGCCGCCATCCTGGTCTCAGAGGCCCCAAGTGAAAGTCCTGGCCGCCTCCTGGCTGGGGGCGTCTCTGCTAAGCCCGAGCCTCAGTCTCCCCATCTGAGCAGCAGGGCGTGTCCCAGCCCTGCCCTGGCCCTGTGGCTTGGGATGCCGAGACCCTGCAGGGAAGGTGGCGGGCGGGTGGCCTCAGAGCTGCCTCGGGCAGTCAGACCCGAAACAGGAAGGCCCGGTGGGGACCAGCTGGCTTCCTCCCCTGACCCTGAGCTTCCAGGATTTGTGACTCAGAGGACGCCGTGGCCACGCGTGCTTGGGGCTCGGCCCTTTGTCTTCAAGCACTTCCTTCCCTGGCCCCTGCCCAGCTCCCAGCCTCCTAGGGACCGAGTCTAGGCCCCCGCGTGCACCGCCCAGTGCTGTTCACAGGGGGCCTTCCTTTGACCGTCATAAAGCACAGGTGACATAAAACTGACCGACTTCGCATTTTTTGCGTGAGAGTTGCCGGGATGGAGCCGGGCGCCCGACCACTGACTTCGCGCCTGCCCTTCTTATTTTTTATTTTAGACAGGGTGCTGCTAAGTTGCAGAGGCTGGCCTTCATCTTACAATACTCCTGCCTCAGCCTCCTCGTTGCCAGCAGGGCCACGCCTGGAGGTGGAACACTCCCCTGCCCGCCCGCCTCTCTGTTGGTCAGGCCAATATTTACCTGAAGAGACTTCACAGCACCACCTTCCCCTCACGCTGTGCAGCCCCGAGGTGTGGGACTGGGCTCCAGAGCCAAGCCGCGAGGGTTCAAACCCAGCTCCCTCTCTTCCTCGAACAGGTCACTCACCCTCTCTGGGCCTCAGTTTCCTCAGCTTTAAATTAGTGATATTCCAACCGTATTAGCCTGCGGTGGCATGGCGCCTGGCATACTGTAGGTGCTCAGTAAGTGCTCATTGTTTTTGGTGGTGAACGCTCTCACAGCACCCGAGTGCTCCAGCCGGGCGGGCACAGCAGAGCTCATCTGCAGGTGGCTGGATGAGGGGGCTGTGGCCTGTCCCGGGACAGCATAGCAGTGGGGCCCCAATTTCTGCCTCTGGAGTTGTGAGGTCACAAGAACAGGAGGGACAAGCCTGCCCAGTCGCTCAACACCCCCCCATGGGCCCGCGGTGACTTTGTGCCCTGTTAACAGATGGGCAGCTGAGGCCCCAGGCCGGGGACCTCAAGAGTGATGTCCTCTCTGGGCCATGGCTAGGCCCAGCCCAGCCCGGGACGTGCCCCCAGGGCCCCGAGGCCTGCCCGTGTGGCCTGGACCTGCACACCCCCCAGGCCTGTGACTTGACATGACCCATCGTTCCTGAGCCCCACGCCTGTGCTGGCCTGGCCCGGGGCCCCTGACCCTCTGGGCACCGGCTCCCTCTGCACGGCTCAGGCCTCCCCATCCCTCCCTGCACCAACCCCGGTCGCCCTCTGCGCCAGAGCTCCACTGTCCACGGGCTGGGTGCTCTGTGGGTGGGTCCCAGCAGGGTGCTGAGGAGTGTCCCTGGCCTTCGCCTCTCCAGTCCCCGTCCTGACAGCCACAAATGTCCCCAGGCAAGGCTGAGTCCCCTGCAGAGGAACCACTGCTCTGTACCCCTGCCCAGTGCCCTGAGGCGGTCCCAGCTCCCCTGAGCTCCCCCCCAGGGCATCTTCACCGAAGGCCACTGTCCTGCCTGGCTCAGCCTGGCCCCGGGCCCTGGGAAGGCGTCTGGGGACCTTGAGTGTCGCCCCTTCCCAGAGTGGCCCCTAGCCCAGCGGCAGCGTCCCCGTCAGCATCCTGATCACCGAGTCCTTGAAGTGTCTGTCTCCTCTGTGGGACCGTGAGCCTGGCCGGTCAGGGCTGGTCTGCACTGGCCACTTGTCCCCAGCACTCAGAAGGGCCCAGCATACAGTAGGAGCTCAATAAGTGAGAAAAACAGCAAACACTTGCTACGTGTCGGGAACTGCTGAAGCCTTCAGTCCACTGTTCACGCCCTTCAGACACCAGGGACAGCTCGCAGGTCCCTCTACAGACAAGGGACCGAGGCCCCGGACAGGGCAGACACTGCCCAGGCCGGGAGCCTGGCGTCGGGGCCAGACCCCTGGGACAGCTTCAGGACGCAGCACTGGACCCAGGAGCCAGGGGACGTCTGACCACCTGGGGCCACCTCACCCGCTGCCCCAGTGCGCCCCGGGGCCTGCGTTACCAGGGCCTCGACACCCCCTGCCCCAAGGCCATCTGCTTCCCGCCATGAACTTGAGGGGCCTCTGCCAGCAGCCGCCGGTGCCCACCCACCTCCCGGGCGCGCCTGCCACCTGCCAGGCCAGGGCTGCCCAGCACCTGGCCATGGAGCCTCCACGGCCGCAGAGCCACGAGGGCCCAGGGCGTCCACTGTCTGTGCTGGGGCCCTGCCGGCAGCCCTGTCCCCTGGCCCACGGGAGACACCAGGAAGCAAGAGCCCGTCCAGGAGGCCACCAGGGTCCCCCGCCTGAGTCCCACGGTCACTCCAGCTCTGGCACCAGCCACGGCACAGAGGGGACAGCTGCCTCGTGACGGCCTTCCCTAAGGCCACGTCCTCACATATCCCAGCCCCCCTCAGCTCCGTCCCTCCTGGTCCCTGCTGGGGCTCCTGGGCGTCCCCTCTCCCCAGGCCCCTGGGGCTCTGAGCCTCTCCACCTCGCGCACCGGACACCAGCTGCTGCCCCCGCCTGGCGCCCTGAGCGGCCCTGATGTCTCTGCTCCGAGCTGCGCCCGGGCTGTGCCCACCCCCGAGGGCGCCCCGGCTGGCCGTCCTCGGTGCCCCTCCACCCTGCGCTCCCGGGCCCCCGGATGCCCTCGGGGACCCTCTTCTAAGTTCCAAACGAGGCAGACGCCTGTGGGTTTCCACGGTCTCGTCCACAGCCTGCCCGGTCCACCCACGCCCAGGGCGCCCCCTCTCCTCCCCGGCCGCTCCTGCCCCGCACACCCAACGCCCGCCCTCCTGGGCGCTCTCCCTGCCAACCAAACGCATCCAGAGTCCCCGCCACCGCCCTGTCCACGTCCCGGTCAGCATCTGGCTCAGCCACTGCCGCCCACACCCCAGACCGTCCTGGACACCAGAGGGCGCCCACCGCCCTCGGGGTCAAACCCAGCCTCTGGCAGACCTCAGGGCCCCGTCCCTCCCTGACCCCTGCCTCCTTCTCCCCTCACTCCCTCTGCTCCAGCCACGGCCTGGGCTGCACCTCCATCACGCCAGGCTGAGTCCTGCCCTGCACTGCTTACAGCCCTGCCATGGCTCCCTAGTGCCCCTCAGGGGAAAGAACCCAACCTCACCCCCCCAACCTTCCTCCTGTCCTCACCCCTGCCAGGGGGGTCCCAGGCCACCTCTGCTCTGCCTGTCCCCTCTGCCAGGGGACCTGTCTGGCCTTCTCAAGGCCCAGCTCCTGGGTGCTGTAGCCACACTTGTAACCCCAGCGGCTCAGGAGGCTGAGGCAGGAGGATCCCAAGTTCAAGGCCAGCCTCAACAACTAAGCAAGACCCTGAGCAACTCCGTGAGACCCTGTCTCAAAATAAAGAACTAAAAGGGCTGGGGAGTGGCTCGGTGGCAGAGCCATCCCCGTCAACCCCCAGGCTGCAGAGGACCCAGGCCCGCCCTGCACACAGGGCCAGCGCAGAGGGCCCAGGGCAGAGGGGGGCACATGGGGCCTCGGGAGGAACGTTGGGGGGCTGCGGCCTGGGGCAAGAGGGAAGGAGCCATGTGGACAGGGACTGTGGTGTGGACGGGGGCAGGTGGTGTGGACGGGAGGGCACAGGGTGGGTGGGGCGAGGGAGTGGCAAGGGCCAAGGCCGGGGGCTGGGAGCCTTAGAGCAGCAGCAGGAGGGTCAGGAGGCGCCTGTCCAGGGAGCCCCGGCTTCTCCCTCTTCTCCCTCGTACCAAGGCCCCAGCTTGGCTGGCCACGGACTCACTTTATGTCCAGTGACCTTGCTGTGTGACCTCAGCCAACAGCCCGCCCTCTCTGGGCCTCTGCACAGGAGGGTGAGGGTCTCGGGGCCCCTGACCAGGCGCTTCCTCCACGGGCCCAGCAAGGATGGGCGCCTGGCTCCAGACGGTGGGGGGCTCCTGTCGGCCTGGCCCTCCCAGCATCCAGCTCCAGGGCCAGGCGTCCCTCGGGGGATCAAGTGACCCGGCCCGGCAGCCGGGCCCCTGCGCCACGCAGGTCTGGTTACCGGCTCTGCTTACAGCTGCCTCCCCCAGCTGCCTCGGTGGCCCCCGTGGCCGCCCCGCCGGGCTCCAGGGCCGTCCAGGAACTTGGCAGGAAGGCCACCAGCCCGGGGCCCTGCCCCCCTCAGCCGTCCCGCCAGTGACGTCCACGATGAGGGTCCCAGGGGACGTCTCCAGGGCCGTGAGCCCCGCGATGACCACCCAGCCCACCCCACCGCACGGCGCTCTGCAGCCCCGGCCAGACCCTCGCCCTCTCTGGGCTTGTTACTCCTCCGCAAAATGGGGAGGAGAACTTGTCCTCCTGAGGGCAGGGGCGTCCGTGCTGGGCTCCACTGTGCCCCCCCCAAATGACAGCAGGGTGCGCGCCCCAGGAAGGGCCCCGCTCATGCCCCGGGGGCCAGGGCGTATCCACTGCAGACTTCCTGCACGCCCACTGCGCGCCAGGACCCACCGTGTGCCAGTACGGCCAGGGCTCCGGCTGTGACGGGGCATGCGTGTCGAGGGCTTGGCCCGAGGCCCTTTGCGGGTAGGAGCTGGCGTCATGGCCACCCCAGGCCTCAGAGACTGGCACGTCAGCCTCATTGTGCCAATGGAAAACCTGGAGGCCAGAGAGGTGAGGCGGCTGGGCTGAGGTCACACAGCACGCGGGGAGCTGAGACCCGTGATGCCTCCCGTCGGCGTTTTGCTGAGTGATCGCGGGTGCCATCTGTCCTCCGTGGTGGGCAGAGGCAGGACCTCACGTGGGGACACCGACAGGTCCCCAGGCAGCGGGGTGGGGGGGGCCTCCGGTAATTGATTTTAATCACTGTTTGGAAATCGGGCCTCCGGGAGGCAGAGCGGAAGCAGCAGCTCCTAATTAGGAGTGGGGGGGCCGCGGCCATTGAGTGAGATGAAAGTGTCATTTACACCCAGCGGGGAGCTGGGGGCAGGAGGCCCAGGGGAACCGGGAGGCTGAGGGCCAGACGCCCACGGATCCCACCCTGCAGCCTGGGCCAGGCAGGCGCAGACCCCCTGGAGGGGCCCAGGAGCCGGCTGGGCTCAGGCCTGGGT